GAGATACACCAGCATCCCATCCATTGTCTACAACACCATGCACACTCCTTACCACTTTATGCCAAAGTCTCTCCCTTTCTAGAGGCCACCTCCATAGCCATTTACCTAATAATGCTGTATTTTTTCTTCCTTAGATTGCCTAATCCCAATCCCCCATGTTCCTTCCTCCTACACACTATTTCCCACCTAACCACATGATCCTTCCTCCCTTCCCCTGACTCCCACAAGAAATCCTTCATGACTTTCTCTACCTTCAAAATCACCTTTTGTGGCATTCTAAAGACAGATAGAAGGCAAGTTGGCAAGTTCGCAAGAATAGCTCTAATTAAAGTGATCCGACCCCCAAGGGAAATGTAGTTTCTCTTCCAAACTGCCAGCTTCTTTGTGCATTTTTCTACGATCGAATTCCAAAATCTTCTTTCTCTTGGATTATCTCCTAGAGGCATACCCAAGTACTTCAAGCACCAACTAGATGTAGGGCAACCTAAGGACTCTGCTACCTCACTCAATTCCTCCATCTCCAAATTTACCCCCACCACACAACTCTTTTCAAAATTGACATTCATCTTCGACACGCATTTTTCTATTGATCTGGCTGAAGTTGTAGAAGATGTCAGAGTCAATAAAATTCTGGGCTTATGTTCTATTGGAAGAGGAGAGTCTTGAAATGAGGATAGCTTTTTTTCTTTTTGGAGGTGGAGAGGGGTGAGGGTAAGTTTGGATGATTTGGGGGTTTAAGAGGAAGTGTTAAGTTGAGTGTTGTGTGTTGAGATCGGGATAGGTTTTGTTGAAAGGTTGAAAGGGTGGAGTTTTGTTTGGTTATGGGGAGGAGTTTGGACTCAGGTTTGATGGGCTTAATGATGAGGATCTTAAAGTAGATGCTTGGGTTTGTGTTTTTTGTTTTTTCTTGGCATTTTTTTTTCTTTTTTTCGGGGGGGGTTGGGAAAGAGGTGGCTGCCTTTTTGTAGGGGTTGAATTCTTTTGGTTGTGGGTGTTTAGGGTTTATTTTGGAAGTAGTTCTTTCGTATTTGTTTCTTTTTTTCCTGTGGTTCTACTTGGTGACCTCTTGTCACCGATTGATGTATGCTGCTTCTCTTTTAATAAATTTTATTGTTTATTTCCTTCCAAAAAAATCACCTCTTTCTTTTTCACTGAAGCATCTCTTTCCCTAGGGAATTGCTTGGCACCCTTTTTCAGTTTGCATGGATTTACCCTCATGTTAGTGAAGTTGCCCTCTCTCAACTGTCAGTTTAATAGGTAACCAGGGCTCCTCCACTCAATGGCCTATGCTTCCTGTAAAGAGACTGGGCCGAATGGGCCCTAACAGCCTCTCTTGTAATATCTTTTATTTTATGTTRATGGGCCACACTTAATGGGCCTGTTATTTATTCTTGTTTATTTCCTTTATGTAACTGCCAAGCTGGCCACCCACTTAAGGGCATACTTGTCATCATAAATTTTTAGATCTTAATAAAATAGGGTTAGAGGAGAATGGAGAATTAATTCGACTCCTTCTCTTACCTCTTCTCTTCGCCATCTTCTCTTATACAGTTATTCAGACCTGTTTTATTCGGCTAATCACTGAATTTAAACTTGATATTAGAGGATTGATTTACATCTTGGTATCAAAGCAGGTTTAGTTCCTCTTCCTTTTTTTCTTCGTTCCTGTACACTCTAAAATCAAGAGAGTGTATGGAGAGATAGGTTCTCTATAGTATAGAGAATCACTTGCCTAGTTGGTTGAAGGGTTTGGAGAGTTTAGTTCTAGCTAGATTTTTCCAAGAAGTGTTGTTGTTCTACTGCTACCCGAAACCCTAGCCGACTAGAGATTTTTGAGGTTACCAGGAAAGGTGAAGCTCGGGTGTGGCACTCTGTGCTTGGAAGGTGTCTTGTGACTGCTAAAGGAGGGCGATTCAGGTTTGGAAGAGTTTGGGTTAGTCTGGTAGGTGCGGCAACATCTTCTCTCTTCCTCCCATCTGCTGGACGGAGCAAAACCCTAGTTTTTCAAGCACCAAAGTTCTGGTTTGGCTACAAGTAAGTTTACATAGTCAAAATTTTTTGTTCTTTGATTTCCGTTTGATTAATGAGACATACGGAAGTGAGTTCAAGCAGGTGTCGGTTTCTGGACCTGTCTCAGTAGACTCTGTTTTGACTGGTGTGACCACAATTAACCTAGATGGGACGAACTATCTTGCTTGGGCACAATCTATAAAAATCTATGTTTGTAGTAGAGGAAAACTCAGGTATCTCACAAGCAGTAAGGTGAAACCCGAAGAGACAGACCTTGAATTTGAAAAATGGATGCAAGAGAACTACATTGTTATAGGATGGTTGGTTAACTCTATGCAACCTCATATAAGCCAACACTATCTTTGGATGTCTTCGGCCAAGGAGATACGGGATAGTGTAACTGAGACCTCACAGAAACTGAATGTAGCCAGAGCGTACAAATTGAAAAGTGATGTGAAAAACTTGAGACAGGGGGAGAAGAGTGTGGCAATCTACTACTCTATACTAAAATCCCTATGGCARGAAATTGATGKTATGRARAYARTGGTATGGGAGAGTAAAAAGGATGCTGAAATGTATAGAAAGCTGGTGGAGAGAAATAGGGTGTTTGAGTTTCTCACTGGACTCAACCCTGAGTTTGATATTATCAGACAAAA